TCAGTAAAATATATGATATTCTGAATCCAGGGGCTCTGAGGAATCGAATGGTGTTGTGAATTTGATGTGTTACTGGGCAAAGCTGAGAGTACCGGTAGCTTGAATATATGAATTCTTGTGCTGCTGTAGCACCACTGAGCTAGTTGAGATTGTTATATATGTCTTCGTGTAGGCAGAACTTCTCGATAAAATTTGTGTGCAGTACCTCCGGGGTTAAATGAATACGGTAACTAGCCACGCCCACAGTTAATGCAACCAACAGCAGTAATACCCTCGGAGTTAAATGACTACTTTTTGACGTAGTACATTCAGCAGCCTACTGCGAAATTCCTTTATATTGAGAACACATTGGTGTAAAATATTAATATCAACGATTTTCTAAAGCCATCTCACGTAGCTGAGTGCCTCATTCCAATACATTCTGTCTGTATTGCTATCCAGCACGGATTCATTTCAGTTGGTATTAGTATGCATGTGACTTCTAGTGCACACCAGGTCAATACTCTTCAGCTTCGAGTACAAATTTGCAATTCTTGTTTGCATACGATTTTTCACCTTAGTAAATCACCTTAGTAAAAATTATATCCGCAGTATGAACCAAACTCTACTCAGCTGTTGTTTAGTGTTTATCATTGGTTTGTTTCTCGTTGCATGGATCACAATTAATTGCAAGCATGCTTATTTACTCAAACTGAGTTAATTGCAGCTGAAGTACTTCTCAGTGTTCCAGAAAGCAGTTGTACATATGCAAAGGTAGCTGTGGCAGAATGTCTTCATGCGTACGATGGCTGAGGCGTGTTCTGTGTGTGTTAGACCACACCCCCTTTTCCTTGACCTGTAATGCAGGATTACCCAGAGTGTTTCACAGAATCCTCGTCACTTACCTTATTTTATTCTAATTGTAACTGTTATTGTGATAAGATTTGCATTGCGTTATACTGTGGCACGAATTTGTGGTATTTGTATTCAAAATTTATTGTTCATATACCTATGACTAGTTCAAATTCTTCAAGGATTTTGCTGGTGATTGCCAACGAGCCTATCGAGATAGTCATTTTCGTTAGGTTCTGAACGCGTTTGACCAGTGAAAGGACTGCTGCGATTTGGGAATCTATGCTGTAAGTGCAGTGAAATTATTAAGCAAACGGAATTTTAGGAGTTGCATTGAATTGGAATTGATGAATCGACGCCTGCCTTTAGGCAGCAATGAGGATTCTTCGAGGCTGATCTTGTCATTTTCTTCCGGTATTCATAGTAGAAATCGTTTCTTCAATATCAGATTATTTCATGGAATCACCTTAAAATTGTTGTTCACATTAATCGTTATTGTTGTTGTGATCGCATTCACGTTGCCCACATTCTCGGGTGTGCTCAATGAAGAACTCTTCCCAAGTCATGGATCAATTTCATTCAGGTTTGTTTCTCTTTTGCTACTCTATTTCTTTTAATCCTTATTGGTTTGAGAAACTGTCTAGTTCAAGATACTGTGGAATCTATGTTCTTACTGTTAACCACATTTCAAACGCTGAACATAATCAAGAAGGTTTGTGGATAGTAATATGAATGATCAATTGATAATTTCCGTCCAGTCAGTTTGTTCCCGAAGATTTTGATCCACTTGCACAGCAAGTCAGTTTTGTCATCAGTTTATTGCTTAAGTTCAGTTCCGTCGTTATTTTTATTTTGTTCTAGAATTTTTCAGATTTTGATAGGTGATTGTAAATCTTAGATCGCTGGAATCTTCATTACCAACTATGACTGTCAAATTCGCTACTTGAGCTTCATAATTATGCCTAAATTTGAGCATGAAGTTTTAGTCTGCCACTGAATTAGATCAATTTCCGCAAAATTTACTGACCAGTTCTGAATTTTGCTGGACAAATGTATGGTGGTTTATATTGGTGCTAATTAGTGATTGTAATCAAAAAAATTCATGGTCCGAATTATGTAACCACCTTATTTTCTGAATTCAGAAGTATGATCCTGAATGTTTTCTTTATGCAATGAGTTTGCATTGCAGTGTGAGTAACATATCATCCATTAATGTTAGTTTATTTTTTGGTATAGAATTGAGTCAGCGAAGTGGATTTCATCTGGTTATCTGGATGGGAAGCGTTCTCTCTAATGAACTGAATGAAGAAGAATACTGGAACGATTTCTCATTCTTCTGATTATGAAAAGTTGTCAATTTAAGAGAGGCCAGTGAATCGGAGGAGTGCTCATGGTTGACAGGCAATGAAAATGAGCGATTGAAAGAACTGAAACGTATTTTGGCATCTGTTCGTCGAGATCTGCTGAGTGCGGCTCGCCAACTCGAATCTGTTAATCTTGAATATGAGTCTATTTTGAAGCAACTCACCGATAAAAGTGATTCTTTTCATCCTCAGTTATGTCTTTTTTCGTTTACTCTTTATTTACATGCGTATTATTTATAAACTAAGCGATACACGAGTGTCTGTATGATTTGGGTACAATATATCGATTTGAAGGTCGTTATGAAGTAATATTCACGATCCGCAAGTCTACATAAGAGCGCATACTGCACTCATACGTAGACTTACAAGTCTTGAATATAGAAATGATGATCTGTGATTAGATTTTATTATCACGATGCGGTGCATTACAGATAATGATGTTATTGTTGGTTGTTGCACTGCTTTTCGGAATCGGGTTCATTGTTGCTCTGCTTGTTATTCTGTTTATTCAGGAAGTGAACTGAAATCAATTCAGTTGGAAATAGATGAGGCGATATTGCTTCAAAAAGAACTTCGTGATCGGAATAATGTTCGGGTATTCCTACCGTTAGCACCTCCAATTCGTGACGCTTCACTTGATTTGCGAACGTTCCCGAAAGGTTCCTCTCTTCAAACAGCATTTGATTTCAGGTTGATTTTTGCTTACTCTGTTACAATTTATCGTCGGGTTTAATTCTATTAAAATTATTTAGAAGACCGTAGGAATTAGATATGTTTCATAATGGATGTTCATTAATATGATTGTTTGATTATTACAGTAGATGCTCGATAGCAGTTGCTTTTAAAGTGTACATTTATGACCTTCAAATCACGAAGACGAATCATTCGGCATTGGCTCGAGCCTTTGTCCATGAATTTGAGTTGGTTTATCTCGCATTTTATTTATAATCGATCATTTGCAATAGCAAGTTCTGTTGTTATTAACGTTGGCGTTCCACTAGCCGACTTCAGATCGTATTGATCTGACTCTTACTTTGCTGTTCGCTTCAGCACTCACTTCAGTTTCAGTGAAATAAACACACCAACAGTGATAGACACATTTTGGATCGTATAAATCGTAATAGAAAAGTCTATTTTAAACGATAAATTCGAGTTGGCCATTCGTTACAGGAAACGCTCATCAGAAGTGACCAACAGCGCAACGAACGCGTGTCTCTTCGTTGGCATCGTTGATCAGCATACCAATTTTGCTTCATTACCACATTTTCATACCCTTGGCAATAATCATCTGCTGATCAACGTTGGCTCTAAGCCACTCAAAAATGTCTCGAATGCAATCGTCGTTTCGTCTGTATTCTCTGAATCGTAAGAATTGATCGTGCTTCTTGTTACTATTGATAGAGGACTCGTTGAGCATTTATCTAAAGTATTCATTATCATAACATGTTTCATATTCGTTAAATTTAAAATATGTAATTGTATTATTTTGATATGAATTATTTTGATAACTGACTCTGCAGAATGATACTAATTGGAAAAATTCGTAATTGTATTCGTAAGTTAGTGATGCATGGTTCACATCGATGAGCAGTAACGATTTAAGGACTTTTCGGAATGACTTCGATATTGCGTTACATTTGAATGTATCCGAATATGATCCGAACGAGTGGGAGCGCTTACCACAACTATTACCATACCTGAGAAAGGTTACATTCATTGATATTGACATTATCTTGATTTAGTTCTATCATTCAAAATTCATGAAGTGAATATGACAGATTTCATGAACTGAATATGTAATAAAGTGCATCCCCTTTCTTGGTGCACTTTATTGGGGAAGCAATCTCGTCAACATGCTTAATGTATTTATTGAATCCGTTCTTAGTATGCATCGTGCCTAAGAATATTGTTATTGAAGTATCTGCTGTCATACTTGGGCATTCCGCCGTCAGGCTTGTTCGATCTACATGAGCAGCTCAGTGCTATCGTTCAGTCGACTCAAAGATCTGGCGATGAAGCGCTTTTCGAGTTGAATTGTACAAGTAATCAACAACCTCTCGCGTTGTGCTATGATGAAGATTACAGAGGTAACTGGATTTGTGTTCGTTTCCATTGAACATCCATGCGATGTAACATTTCATTTAGTTTTTTATTAATAACTACTATTAGATGGCTACAGTATAATATCACTGTGTTGCGTCGATTTGTGATCATTCGGATAACATTTTCGAGTGATATGATAAATCTGTTCATCACAACTGAAACCTGATGTAGTGATTGTGCAGGTGGTCATAACTATGTGATGTGGGATCATCAATTAGAAGAGTACTACTTCTAATTGAAATAACTCTAATTGAATACTTTAAGGTGCAATATTAGATGACTCGATGTTTGTGTTGATATTCGAATCAGAGTCGATATTCGATTCGTCCAGTGAATTTCAACAGAGATTGATCGAAGCACTGTGGCATGGCTCGATTCCGATAATAGTCTCCTTGAATGCGATATTCCCATTTGCGGATTGTATCGATTGGCGTTTAGCGACCTATCGCATAGCACCGCAAAGATTACCCGAATTGCATTTCATCCTACGATCATTCAGTGCGGCTGATGTGTTGGAGATGCGCAGGAAAGGAAGATTCCTCCTGGAAAACTATTTAGCCAACACAAAAGGTCAGTTGTCTCTCATTTATTTGTTTAGTACTGTTATTAATGCTGTTATTATTTCAGTCGTAATATCTACACTTTTAACTGCTCAGCGTCAACGAATCGGCATACCAGCTTCAGATCGTGTTGCATCTCCGTCGAAGCCACTATTCGGTTCGTCCTCGTTCGTATCACCGCATCTCACGACTCCAGGTCCACCGCACTTCGAAGAAGAATATCTCGGTTCGTAATCTGATCCTTTTTGACTTGTTCTCCACGCTCTCCACCACTCCCCGTTGTATATGCATAGTTTCAAGTTGTGAAACAGTTAGTTTTTGTTGCATTTTGTTGTTTTGCAAATGGATGATAATAATTTCTGAAAGAATAACAAACTATTCAGGTCCTCGAGAGGCTCCGCATAATTCACCGTCGTATACGCATAATTTTACTTCTCAACAATTGGTTCGGTTCAAAAGTTGATATGATTCAAAAGTCGATTCTTTATCATAATACTAGTAATGATAGTAATCAACCAATAAAAACTTCTTCATCACATAGCTGCAGTCTGTAAAAATTAGTGGAGTTTCATTGTTACACATTGTCATGTTAAATGTTCAAGTTTTTCAGATAACTGAGGAGATAAGAATAATGACACAGTAATGATGATAATAATATACCCATGAAAACAATCGTTCATTTCGTTTTTATTTCTTTTCGATGCTTTCATAATTTGCATTCGCGTCACAAACCACCTTAAGTGAGTAATTGTTTAGTATGCAAATTATCTGTGGAATGAGTTCGGTGCATCGAGTGGTGTCTCGTTGGAATATCTGACCGTTGAGCCACCGTTTCCATCTCAGTTTGAATTCTCGGATGGAGCGAACTTTGGCTTTCGTCCGATTCATCCAGGTTCCGGAGTGGAATTTTCAGCCGCAATCGGTGGAAATCGACCTCGTGAGCAGTTCACCGGTTCGCTCATTCCAATTTGAATATTTCATATGTTGTTTAATATTTCCGTTTGTTTACGTATTTCCGATTCGTTGCAAACGGAATGTAATGAGTTTCATTCGCATTCGAAATTAAACTCACATAATTCTGTGAATAGAGATGTTGTTGATAGTACTTTATAAATTTTAATATTTCAGTACTGATGTTAACCTATCGTCGAGATTCAGTTTTATATGCTTCGTTAGAACGACTCAACAATTTGCCGTACTTGAACAAGGTAATTAATTGAATCTTTACCTTTGTGAGTGCAGTTTGAGAAGGTATGCCGTATGCGCAGACATGCTATCAATAGTACGATTGTAGTTCTAATGATATTCATTAATAGTTGTGTGCGTGTGCTAGGTAATCGTTGTATGGAATAATCCGGATGAACCGCAGTCTGATCGTGCGTGGCCTCGTCTGCATGTACCTGTTCATTTCATCAAAGCTGAGCGCAATTCACTGAATAATCGTTTCATTCCATACGATCAAGTTCGTTCATTTACACTTCAAATCAAAAAATCTTCTCGACTCCCATCTGCATGCAGTCGTTCTGTTCCATTGATTGCTTGAATCGTTCAGCGTTGTTCAGACTGAAACAGTTAACTGAATCGTCATTCATTTACTCAGCGCATTGTTCAGATTGAAACAGAAGCGGTGCTCTCATTGGATGATGATATCGATTTGAAACAACATGAAATCATATTCGCTTTCAGGTTCTTCTTTCGTATTGTGTGACATACTTGTGTAATTTATTATACATATGGTTTGCTCTCGTAGGGTCGATCGTTCAACCACTACAATAAATGATTGAATTTCACCGCTGATCTTTTTATTGTAAAACGGAAAATTATTCTGCAGAATGATTTTCAGAGTATGGCGTGAACAGCGTTCAAAAGTGGTCGGCTTTCCAGCCCGACACCATGCGCGCTATGGTAACGAGATGTTCTACAACAGTAATCATACTTGTCA